TGGGTTAAAAAGGAAACCAAGTTAGTTTGTTTGTACACTTTTGTTCAAGAGATTCACCGCCATAAAGAAGAGAACTGAAGAGTTCAAAAAAAATAAATTTGTGAATTTATGGGATAAGCTGACGTATCCAGAAAGCCAAGATGTAAAATGTTTACTAGGAAAAAATGGACCTGTTAGTGCAAATTGGTGGAGAGACAGGTCTGGACACGTAATAATTTTGTTAATTTTTGGTTTTTTATTGTTTTTTTTTCTTAATTCTAATTTTCCTCGGTAAATTGTCTTCAGTCTTTGCCACATACTTAATATATAAATGATAATGCTAAGTATTTTTAAAGTGGAAAAACATAGGTCTATTAAGACAGTGTTACCAATATCCCTCCATTTGTCATTTTTTTTTCTAATAAAGGCAATTGGCTCTTACAAATCAGGAAAACACTTATGGTTCGAGTCTTTGTGCGCGCAATACGCGCGCGAGTCATCACGCTCGCATGGGCATACTGCACATAGCAACTAAACATGTGGTTTCTTCGAAAAGTATTTCAAGGGCGTCTATTAGTATTTTAAAGTGATATCTCACCATTTATAAAAAGGAGAAATGGGAGATTCAATTCGCTACAAGATTCAAGCCGCTACAAAATGCTCCGTTTGGATCTTGTTTTTTGATAAACAACCCTAACATGAGAGATCAAGAACATTATACTGATAAAATGATAGAGAAAATCAGAAAAACATGTTGTACTGGGCCTACTGTACACTCAGTTTTCAGATCATCAACGGATAATTATTTTTTCAATCATATTTTATTTAGGTAATACGGATGGTGGAGACCTTTGAGCGTCGGAAAAACTTTCGAAACAGAGAAGCCATGTTTTGTCCTATTTTTGCGGATTTTAAGGCTCAGGCTGCGCACGTTCACTTTACTCCAGGGAGCTAACTTACTCATAACTATATCAAAAATCCTAATCTAATTGACTTATCATCTGCCCTGATATCAGCATTAATAAGAGAGTGTATTTTTTCACTCACTTAAAAAAAATACAATACAATACAAATTGTATTGTCAACTCCCCATGGGGGCTTTTCAGATACAAATATTAATAGTACAGGTAAACAAAAAAATAAATAAATAAATAAATACGCAAGAATTGTCAATAAACAATTATTAAGAAACTATTTGCATATAGAATTTATGACATCACAAATTGATTATCAATAAACTATGAAGATACTATTTACATATAAATTTATGACGCTTTAAAAATTCATTTAAAAGGAAGGCTTTCATTTTACGTTTGAAAATGTAAGAGATTCACTTAATTTAAAATGGGGTTTTAACGCATTCCACAATGTTACAGTTCTGTAATAAAAAGATCTCTGTCCTGACTTGGTTTTAAAAAGCGATATATTAAGCTGGGAAGATGATACTGGTCGTCCGACCACTGATATTCCCTCTGAAACCGGTCGTTTGTACAATAAAGCAAGTAGGACGCCAACTGTTATTTTTGTTGAATAATAAAAGACTAATAAAAGAATAAATATCAAACCAGAAATTGCTCTCATCAAACTGTAAATTACAAATGATCCTGAGAAAATATTCAGTGTGTTAAGGATTTCCCTTCTGTACTGTTAGCTCTATACAAGAGAGGAATGGCGATTCATTTATAATTTCCGTTTCGCTGAAACAGCTTTAGCAGAAATCTCTCTTTAGCCGTTTTCGTTGACAGGCGAATAGCAATATCGCTCTTCGCGTTTTCCGCCATCTTTTTCTGCGTCAATGCGTGAAGGACGCGTGGCTCTGAGCATGGGTCATCCACGCGGAACACATTCGCGCTATGTGATTGGCTCTTGTCTAATCCCCCTCGGGATCTGTGGTCTTAAAAATAACTCGAGACGAATTACCTATGGAGTAGGGTGTGTATGGGGTATGCCTTCCCTGTCCCCTTTATCCTCTCTTGTCAATTGTTAAAAGAACTTTATGTCGTTCAATTCGGTCTGTAATCACATTCCTGATTAAACAATTGTTAATCACTCGTATGCTATGATTACAGGCTGAATTAGACTCCGCTCAGTCCTATTATCATTATTCAGTAACTTTCACAAGTTAGAAAGAAGGTTAGTCAGCTGAGTGTCTCAAATTAAAAAAAGTTTGTATACAGTCTTCATTTTTCAATTTTTTATTATCATTTTCAAGAGTACAACTCTGAGGGTTCTCAAAGCGGCAGATGTATATTTCTGTCTACTATAAAGCCGGCTATGTAATACTTTAAAAATTCAGCTTCACAAAAGTTTTTTACAATTGGTTTCTTTAGTGACTGAGTATATAGAAAAATGAAGATAAAAGGCACAAATTAGTAAAAATTTGTATGCAAAATGCACGTGTAGATAATCAGTTGTCTTTGTTCAATCTTTAAATGTGTTTATGTTTTCTTTTCCTGGACTGCCTCTGGTTGCTTAACCCAATTCAGAAAGTAAAAGGCAAGTAGGAACTGTTTTTGTTGACTTAGAAAATTTACATCCCTTATTTGGTAAAAAAAAAAAACCTCGTCATGCCTCTTACTAACTTGCTTGAGAGCTTATATCCGTCCTGGTTTGTTGATACATTACAATCCGATTTCGGCCCGTCACGTAGACGCTCGCTTGACTGACTATTGACTAGAATTGATCTGGAATCCAACATTCTGCTTTTGATTTTTTTTTTTTTTAAGTTAGTAAGGCCCCAATATGACACTTTTTTGATATCAAAGTAAACTACTAAACGTGGCGGTGGTGAATCCGAGATGCAGGATTCCGAAAATTCGGATGGTGGGGGCAATAACTCCAGTGATAAAGGTTGAATTCGCTGTCTTTCCCTTTTCTGTTGCATAAATGGGAATTTTGTTTTCTTTGTCGATGAGACTTAATTATTTTATTTACACTCAGTCCATTCGACCATTACTCTTTCCGACCAAGCGTTAAAAATCTCCACCATTTTTATAATCAGAAAAACTCGTTAGTGTGACCACCTCGCTGATGTGACCAGATTCTCGAGGCCCTTCAGTGGGCGCCATAACGGGTTTTCATTGAATGTTAAAAAGAAGACGCAAATGAGACGTCAACTTTAATCTCAGTGTATTACGAATCTTTTTTTTAAAATTATTTCTGGCAGAACCCACTCAATTAACGCTGATTTTCACTAGCTGTTACCTACGTTTAATGAAGGCTTCATTGAGACTGATTCAGGTAAATTAAAACATATTTACTCGCTAATATCTACTCCTTGGCTGTGAAAATTTGTTGAAAAGACGACGATATCACTATTCAGAGGCTGAAATGCCAGGAGTTTCAGTTCAGTTTCTGTCTCTCTGTCAACCAGAAAGTTTGGGTCTTGCCTTTTCCCTGTTTACAAAAAGAACATGGAAAACACATGAACCAAAATAAATACGATAACACATGAAAATTTTCTGCCGTAAATAATTAGACATTAAATGTTATACATGCTGGATAGGCAACATATAACACAAATATTTGCACTATACCTTAAGCTCCACCATTCCTCTTTTCTCAGTGACAAAATCTGTATTTTCCAAACATCGATTTGTTGCTGCACTTATGTGCACTCTCATTGGCTGAGAAAAAAGAAAAAAAAAAAACGAGCTTCAAGAAGCTGTGTCTCAAAGAGTAAATTTCCGGCAATTAAAATGAGTGTATGTTTCTCTCGTATACTGTATCTATGATGTACAGCTTGGTAGAGAAGAAAGTTGGGGCGAACGTACGTGGATATACAGAGATGACAAATGTAAATCTTAATGCCAGCTTATAGTAATATGAAATACAAAACCGTTAAAAAGACCTGCATTTTATAACATGACCGTTTAAAAGATTCGAACTTTTTATTTGCGTTTATAAGTTTGTGTCAAAGTTTGTACTTTCTTCGAACTTGTAAAATGCGCCCCCAAAATACTCCTTTCTAAGCTAATTTTTTAGGTTCCAAACAGGGGGATGGTTTGGTAATTGCAGGGGAGCAGATTTAGGAGGTAGACTTCAATTGTACCTTGGAAGTAATTTGAGTAAGAAAAGGGAAACTGGGGAGGACATCCAAGCACGTATTGGGAAGGCGAGGTAGGGGTTCGCGATGCCGTGGTGACCGCCGATATGGAGGTCGACTTCACTGAGAACGAGAACGAAGTCGTGATTTCTCGAGACAAATTTGAAGACCGTGCTATTATATAGTGCCGAAACTTGGAGATTGACCGATGGAGCTGAAGCAAAAGTTGCAGGAGTTTATCAACAAAAACTTAGGCACATCCTGTTGATTTTTTGTGGAGACTGGCAGGACAGCAGCCAATAGAGGAGGAGATAAGAGAAGGAACATGGCGATGGCTGGCCACACCCTGAAAGACCAGACGTACATGTCCTCAAGAGCTGAGGCGGACAAAGATGTTAAAAGTTGAGAAGAAAGGACTTTTGTGGTGTGAGGCAAGCGTTACTGCTCAAAATGGAGTTAGTTAGATAGTTAGAGATAGTATCAGTGATAATAATGACATATATAGGAGACTTATGGCGATAACATAACATAACCGATAACATACTGACTTTTTTCAAGATGTAAACAAGCTTATTTACAGGATAAACATAGAAGACATCTTGAGAAGGGAGATGAGAGGTTAGTCCTGTATCAGAATTTTCAAACAGAATTAGAAAATACTAAATAAAAAATCAAATACAATACATGTATTCAAAATGAAGGCCTTAATTAAAGAACGGTTCTTGTTTTAAGTGTATTAAATAGATAATGATGAAGCTTATGCTTAAAATGATGAAGGCTATTCATCCCCTACTATCTCTTGGTAAATCTTTCCATTTTGAAACTATTCTAATTAAAAAAGAATATTTGTGGCAATCGAATCTTGCGCTTTTCATAATGATGACAGTTGATGATGATGATGATAATGATGATGATGATGATGATGATGATGATGATGATGATGATGATGATGATGATGATGATGATGATGATGATGATGATAATACCATACCAGTGATGTTGTCCTGAGCCGAGAAGCTATGTTAACTGTGTCCCCAAATAAGCAGTACTGAGGTGTCTTTTCACCAACTAATCCCGCCGCCACAGGACCCGTGTGTATGCCTGATTGGGAGGATGAAAGATGAAAAAAATGACCTTGGTTGTAATAAGAACATCAAGCGTCCAATACTCACTGTCTCATATATAGCAAAATGCTTTGTGAGGCCACAAATATTACCGTTTTGAGTTTACGGAAATGACCAAAAATGGCCAGGATGTCTCACTCAAGATATCTAGATTATTTTGGATACATTTTTAATCAATCACAATTATTTTTCTTTCCAATGCTTTTCTTTCTTTTCTTTTTATTCGACGCTACACCGCACGATGTTTTTAATTCTTACATGCAACATTTTAGGCCCTGTTGGGGGTTTTACGGATAAGGGATAACTGGACAAATAAATTAAGGGATAGGAAATAATTGATAAAATAAAAACTTTTGGGATAAGGGATAAGTGAAATATCTTAGGGATAATTAAATTACATCCTGGTTCTACATTGATTATGATAGTTTCGCAATTTTTTCACTTTTCTGGTGGTTTTCCCCGCTGACCACCTGTGTCCATGCATCGGTTATCGCTCATTTACTTAGCATTATCAGCCAGTCTAGGGTAGTCTCAAGCTTCTAGAGCCACATAAGCACAAGGCGCTACTTTTGCCTACTGAGGACCACGGGGGATGACCTCAAACCACGCCTTTGTTTTGCACAGATTGTAGAAACACAAACAAACAAACAAACGAAACAATCTAACAAGCGGGAGTCACGTTTCTTGATTACCCGTCAAATTGTTTGTCTTTGTCATGGTTCAGTAGGGCAATCATTAATAGTCAGATGGGTTTTGCAACTTCAACTTTAACTGGCAAACTCTACAGGAGGTTGATTCTTACCAATAGAGACTGTCATAGGCTTTTTATTGGCGGGATTTTTAATAAGCTCGACGCCCTCTAGCATGTCGAGTGCCATTGCTGAGACTGCTTCCGCATGACGCGTCGTCTTCACTGGCGCACCACTAACAGTCATGTACATTGCGTCACCTAAGGTTTCAAACTGTAATCAAAACATGATTTAGTGAATATCAGTCAATCACCATTTAGGAGGCAGCATAGTGTGGCGTTTGGGCTTGACTTCAACTTCGAATTCAAGCTGCCCTGGCCTTTAGATGGAATAATGTTTCCCGTCAGAGTCTCGGGTTCAACTCTTCGGCCAGCCACGCGTAAATAGACAGCTGGCCCGCCTCCGACTGGTTGGAACTCTTGTTGTTGTTGTTGTTGTTTTTTTTTTTTCACATATTTTCTTATGCTGTTTAATTTACCCATGTTAATTCAGTGTTTTTGAGACCTAAAAGGGTATTGTGAGTAAGAAGGGGGGAACTGAGGAGAACATACAGACAGGTTTTGTCACGGGATACGCCAAAGCATCCTTAGCATGTCTTCGATGTTCCTGTTTTATTAAGGAGTACTTTATTTTATAAGTGGAATGAAACCTAAAAATTGATTGGGTTCTATTCAGCCCCTTTGTTTGTCCATTTAACTGTGGGGATTATAATTATCCACTTCCCCATTTTCATCCGCAGTTCTCACCTATGATATATTTTGTATTTTCTAAGTCGAATCTATGTAATGGTTGTCTTATTTCCTCATGAAACATCGAAAAAATTAGGGCTAAATCGGCTTTCAAGCTGTACCACCTTTTCTCGATAAAATTGCTAAAAAATAATACCTTTTTTGTGTTTCTGCTATTCATTCCCTTGGAATCTACGTCTTAGTGTTGGGGGTGTTAGTGCAAGAAGAACTGGGACTCGCTCATTTATTGGTCCATTTCTAAAGTTTCTCTCATTTAATTCGTTAACCAGTTATCTGCAGTCCACAGCTATGGTACCTTTGCCAATAACCAAACTATCGATTGGAAAATACCACCCTTCCCCCAACCTCCTGAGTATATGTAGCGAATGTGGTGACAAAAAAAAAGGGAGTCGGGAGGAGAACTGGAGGTGGTTTAAGGAAATCTAGAGACCCTGACTATTGCCATTAAACTTAGCTATGAAGTTTCAAGCATAACTTTTGTTTCATTATCATCTTTTTCAATTAGAAGTTTGGCTGCAGCTTCTCACAGATCTCCATCTTTCCTTTGGCCTAAAGTGCTTTCCCAGGTAACCAAGGAAACCAAGTTTTTCAGTCTTGAAATAAAATTGGTTAAAGACTTCCCCTCTTTTTACTTGATTACCTTATAAACATCATGCTTCTCAGTCAGTTTGTCGAAAATGGTAAACATGTTGTTGACCAGGTTCACAATTTCCATAGCTCCGACCTGTGAGCAAATGGTGACAAAGCCATCCAGGTAGCTGAACATAACAGTGACACTTTCAAAATTCTGCAATTCAAAGTAAAGTAATCAATAGCGTCATTTTTATTAATCAACCCTGTGCACCGTGCTACAATTATAATTCCAACAATTTTGCTTTTGCAATTGTCAATATTGAAGCAGTCAATTGCTTGAAGGCCGTTATTGGGGTATTTTGTCACGTCTGAAATGCAACACTGTCACAGCTGACCAGTTCATTTTGTTAATAATCACCGCTTGTTACGCATCTCTATTCGCCATGGAACTTGAAAAATAGCTTGCTAATGGCTTCGTGTCAAACAAACATGTCTCCCAAACATCACATCAAAAGTTAAAAAAAACAAAGAAACAAGAACTGTTAGGAAGGTTAACAACTTTTTTTTGTTTCAACCTTGTTTAAGATTGTCCAATCATACCGTCCTTAATATTCTCTGTGTTATTTATACTTTCTTTTCATATTTTTAGCAGTTATTTTTAGCGGAGCTCCACGCGCGGCGCTTCGCGCTGCGCGTGGGCGCAGCCCCATAGCTAAGGAAATGTGGTAATCTACCCATCCGAGAAATTTTGGTAATCACGTGACCGTACACCGACCCCCCGACAGTCCGTACGCACCACAGACATACCAGTGTAAAATAACTCAATTAACAGGTATGGCAACCCAAATGCAACTCAAGGTTTTATTTGGAAGGAAATCACATGGCCGCCCGGACTTTTAGAAGGAAAAAACAACAACGAAATCGTGCCTTTTTCGGCGTTAATTTTTATGTTTACACTAACGTGGATAACAGAGAGAGAGCTAGAGCGCGTTATTAAAAACAAAGGAGACGAATTTCGTAGGAAGAAAAACGTGGAAATTCAAAGCGGCGTTGAGAAAATGAGAAATGTTAGCGGCCAGCAAGGTGAAAATGAGCGGCAGTGAAAAGTAAAAGCGAACATGAACACAGGAAACAAAATATTAGGTAAGCACACACGACAATTCCTCCATAAAAATAATGTGTAACTAGGAAGTTTGACGTTTTAGTCGTACAAAACAGCGTTGTAGTCGTGCAAAACAACGGCAGGGGAAAGACAAAAAAGCGTGCTGCACGTGCAATTTATTTTTTGTTAATTCGAAGAAAAAGTGTGCTGCACGTGCAATTTGTCTTTTTGCTAATTAGATCTATTAGTCTTGACGCCATTTTCATTGTCGTCCCCGTTTAGCGGAGTTACACTGTTAATTTTTTTTTGTTTACCCGTATTGTTAACCAGAGCTTCGCTTTTAGCCCTGGCTAAATCTATATATTATTTTCTACTCAACTTGATGGGGGTTCCCTCTGTTTGAATTTTGATTAATTTTTGTGACATACCTCACAAGTTTCCACAGCCTTACCACCAAGTGTCAATCTATCGGCGATAGCTTTTGGCATCATTCTATAAAGCAACTCTTCGCTTCGTTTTCTCTCCAACGCCAACTTTTCCATGTTTTCCTCTAAAGCCTTTCCTTTGTCGAATTCCTGGTCGAAGAAAAAGGGTCGTAGGTCATTAACTTTTCAGAGTCTCGGCTCTTGTGCACTTGATATGCCCTTATCACACTTTACTCTATTCTCCAAATTTCTACTCAGAATGATGCTAATAGATGGTATTAGATGAAAAAATAGCGTCCTGAACATGATCTGTGTTTATATTATTCAGTTGTTAAAGTAAAATCATCTTCACAATCCTCATTTGCTTCGCAATACCTTTATTACAGACAAATACATTGCGTAATTCCACAAAACACAAAGTAATGGTCAGAATCGGAATCGAAGGCTAAGGAAATCATTTTACGTCACAAAACGTCATCAGCTTTTCTTTGATCCTTTACTTGTTCGCATTTAATAAACGTCCCTTCGACGTTTTTTTCAACTTTTGACATGGACAATTAAGGTAGAAAAAATCTGTTCAAAGTCGCGAAATTTTAGAGACGTTTGTACGAGGGGAGCGGGGGGGGGGGGTTGCAAACGTGTCCCTCAAAATACAAAAGTCTGTAACGCTTCGCAACTCTGTGGAGCTATATCTTCGCTCGTTTAAGACGTTTCACTTTTGAATTTGGCAGTTTAACCGATTTTAAGGCGCTCTTTGCAGTGATGTCGACGGATTTTCCCTAACTTGGTCCATGTTAAAGTTGAATAGCTCGGTGGTTAGCTCGAAAGCTAAGCTCCTCTGACCACCGCACACTTCTACCCAAGCCATTATTTTTTTCCCCTTCTTCTTCTGCTTTATTAGTGTATTCCTACCTTACTATATATAATGTAAATATTTTATAAAGTGTGAATAATAAAATTGAATTGAAATTGAATTGCATTGAATTGAATAAACCGTGGAAGGGTCTATTTTGTGGAACGTTTCTCAGGGGGGAAAGGGTGACACAGTTTAGAGTTAAGAATTATCTTAATCAATTGGTCTCATTTAAGAACCAATATCAGTCATATCAGTTTAATCATGTACTTTTCGGGAAGTTCCAGTACCTGGTCCCTAGCCATCTCTAGCTGGGGCAGTGGTTTTATTCCAGAGAGCACCATCTCGCGTGACGTGTCGTGCAACCCCAGATCGTTCATGTACAGACCGATGCGCATCATTTCTTCAACACCTCCGATTCTAAGGAAAATATAATATAACCTAACAACTTCAACTTCGAACTAGACACGTTAAGTTTGCAACTTTGATGGTGCTTAAAGGAACCGTCTTTAAAATAACTCGTATTAGTATAATGTCAGCAAAGTGAACTGAATATATTTCTACAGAAGGCTGGAGTTAGTTAAGCACCAAAAAACAAGCGTCAACTAATGGACCGGATGAGTAACTAATCTCACTTTTCCTCAACATTAGCCCCCAGGCCCTAGCTAATCCTTGCCAGTTTGAATTGCCAAAAGGAGAAACGCAACCCCTCATAACTCATGTAATGGGGTTCGAACATGCACTCGCCTCTCGCTCAAGACACAAGTGTTCTTTGACTATCAATCGAGCAAACCAAGCGAGAAACAAAAAAATTAAAACCGTGCAATACCAACGAAATAGATAATACCAAAAAATAAAATAAAAAAGTGATGCTAAAAAAAGAGATAAGAATTAAATTACATACAATGGAGAGCAGATATAGAGCATTTTATTCCATGAGCGTATGTACTTCATGATTCCCCGTAGATGTAGCTGTGGTTTGTGGGGCATTTTCAGCGCTTGATTTTCATTTTCTTTAGAGACAAACAGCGGACACGTTTCGGTACTTCTGTTTTGGAAGTCCAGTGATAACTGGTTGATGTTGAAGTTGGCGATGGTGGGACGACGTAAAGTTGGCAGCGTACAGATCAACTCAAAAACCACGTGCCTTGTCGCGAACTATCAGAGAGTGAAAAATTCAGCAAGCAGTTAGTCTGGAAGAATACGGTTTTCTGTCTCAACTAAATGACAAGTAGACTCACGACCCTGCGTGTACACTTTGACCTATCAATTTGGGTTTGGCAATTGTCTATGACCAGCTCAGTTGTTTGATCTGTGGTGACCAGCCGGTACAGTAAACGTTTAAGGTTTCTGATTAACAGACACAGAAATCTATCACGTGTGACAGTGATGCTGGCCAGTAGTGTACTGAATACATCAGTAGCTAGTACACATGTGACCTTTAAAATAAACCTGTTTGGTTTGTTTCCAGAAGAGCTAATTTCTAAAGAAAATGTCGTGGTTCTGCTTTCTTTTTGTTAATAATAACCGGTTGCCAATTTTCCTCACTTGCAGCCAATGGCTGAACTACGAAAAAACCGGAGAGGAGAGATCGGACGCCAGCATGTAAAAGCGCACTATGCGGCCGCTTCAGTCCATGTTTGATCTCACTTCGCCCATCCAGACCAATGACGGCAGAAGTCAGATAGATTCCCACACCAGGGACTACGTCCCCTACTCTTGTCGAACAATGTCACAGGTTGTTAACATCCCCTTCCAACTAATGTGCACAGATGAAGGAGACAAGGCCAACGCCGGCTCAACTCACCGCCCATTATGACGCGATCATCTGAACTGATAAAGGGTTTTTTAATCACGGCTAGCATGATCTCACCTGTGAGTTTATTTTAAAGACCTTGGTTAGTAGTACGTCCGGCCAGGGTTTGAACTCACGCTCAGCAGACCGGCGCTCCTCCACCCAAGCTGACTGGGCGGGAGTCTAGGGGTGGTCGTGTTGGACTAGGTGAGATGATCTCAGAGGTAATGCTTTGTGAGAGTTGAGTTGCCGTTGGTTTTGGCCCTTACAGCGAGGAATTTCCTCTGGGCTTACAGGTTTCCCATTTTCCTCAAAAACGAGAATGATACTTCTAAATCATTATTAATTAATTATTAATTTATCTATTTATTAATTCATCATTTAGTTTTAACTAAGTTGTTAAAATATTTGAGGCGATTCTGAAGCTTAGTTTCTTTGTCCATCGAAAGAAATTTTTAGTTAAAGTTAGTTAAATTCTATCAAAAATGATTGATTTTGATCATGTTTTTGCAAAAGCTAACGCTGTATATTAGTGGAGTTTATATACTAGACACCATTATTACGTACCGTTTCCCAAGTGAATTCGGCTTTTGGTCTTCTCATACTGAACAGCTCTCTGATGTCATTGCCGATGATACGATTTCCCACTGTAGATATAATTCCGTGTCCAGCCATATTGATTGTCATATCGTAAGACAAGGCAAAACTGAAAGGAAATATACTGAAAAATATCTCCACATTGATTCCTTGCTTGCTCTGAACTGACAAAAAGTCTGGAGCCGGAGGTTTATACCCGGTATTATCAAAACCCAAGCGGTAGACAACGTGAGTTGTATTGTTGACGACTTCGTTGCTTAGAACTTTAACATCTACGTCCATGCTATAAAACTGAGACGCGATTTCTTTGATTTGACCAACAACGTAGAACATGAACCCCTTCCTTTTGGAAATGTAGTGCAAAATTAGCCCAGAACTTGTTTCCTCTTCACAGAAGAAACTCGGCGACTGAAGCTTTGGGTATCCAAAACGCATATGTTCGTGCAAGTTGTCAATTCCTATTAGAAAATCCCGCAGATAGCGGCCGCTTACTTTGATGACACGATCGTATCCATAGTGACTAAAGAACTTCACGAAGCAAGTGCCAAAATACTGCATAAAATCGTCGCTTAGCATGTCTGTCTCTTCTCCGAGGATTTCGGCGGCGGTGTCGGCAATTTTCATCATGAAGCTCTCATAATATGAAATACAAAACCGTTAAAAAGACCTGCATTTTATAACATGACCGTTTAAAAGATTCGAACTTTTTATTTGCGTTTATAAGTTTGTGTCAAAGTTTGTACTTTCTTCGAACTTGTAAAATGCGCCCCCAAAATACTCCTTTCTAAGCTAATTTTTTAGGTTCCAAACAGGGGGATGGTTTGGTAATTGCAGGGGAGCAGATTTAGGAGGTAGACTTCAATTGTACCTTGGAAGTAATTTGAGTAAGAAAAGGGAAACTGGGGAGGACATCCAAGCACGTATTGGGAAGGCGAGGTAGGGGTTCGCGATGCCGTGGTGACCGCCGATATGGAGGTCGACTTCACTGAGAACGAGAACGAAGTCGTGATTTCTCGAGACAAATTTGAAGACCGTGCTCTTATATAGTGCCGAAACTTGGAGATTGACCGATGGAGCTGAAGCAAAAGTTGCAGGAGTTTATCAACAAAAACTTAGGCACATCTTGTTGATTTTTTGTGGAGACTGGCAGGACAGCAGCCAATAGAGGAGGAGATAAGAGAAGGAACATGGCGATGGCTGGCCACACCCTGAAAGACCAGACGTACATGTCCTCAAGAGCTGAGGCGGACAAAGATGTTAAAAGTTGAGAAGAAAGGACTTTTGTAGTGTGAAGCAAGCGTTACTGCTGAAAATGGAGTTAGTTAGATAGTTAGAGATAGTATCAGTGATAATAATGACATATATCGGAGACTTATGGCGATAACATAACATAACCGATAACATACTGACTTTTTTCAAGATGCAAACAAGCTTATTTACAGGATAAACATAGAAGACATCTTGAGAAGGGAGATGAGAGGTTAGTCCTGTATTAGAATTTCCAAACAGAATTAGGAAATACTAAATAAAAAATCAAATACAATACATGTCTTCAAAATGAAGGCCTTAATTAAAGAACGGTTCTTGTTTTAAGTGTATTAAATAGATAATGATGATGCTTATGCTTAAAATGATGAAGGCTATTCATCCCCTACTATCTCTTGGTAAATCTTTCCATTTTGAAACTATTCTAATTTAAAAAAGAATATTTGTGGCAATCGAATCTTGCGTTTTTCATAATGATGACGGTTGATGATGATGATGATAATGATAATGATGATGATGATGATGATGATGATGATGATGATGATGATGATGATGATGATGATGATGATGATACCATACCAGTGATGTTGTCCTGAGCCGAGAAGCTATGTTAACTGTGTCCCCAAATAAGCAGTACTGAGGTGTCTTTTCACCAACCAATCCCGCCGCCACAGGACCCGTGTGTATGCCTGATTGGGAGGATGAAAGATGAAAAAAATGACCTTGATTGTAATAAGAACATCAAGCGTCCAATACTCACTGTCTCATATATTGCAAAATGCTTTGTGAGGCCACAAATATTACCGTTTTGAGTTTACTGAAATGACCAAAAATGGCCAGGATGTCTCACTCAAGATATCTAGATTGTTTTGGATACATTTTTAATCAATCACAATTATTTTTCTTTCCAATGCTTTTATTTCTTTTCTTTTTATTCGACGCTACACCGCACGATGTTTTTAATTCTTACATGCAACATTTTAGGCCCTGTTGGGGGTTTTACGGATAAGGGATAACTGGACAAATAAATTAAGGGATAGGGAATAATTGATAAAATAAAAACTTTTGGGATAAGGGATAAGTGAAATATCTTGGGGATAATTAAATTACATCCTGGTTCTACATGATTATGATAGTTTCGCAATTTTTTCACTTTTCTGGTGGTTTTCCCCCCTGACCACCTGTGTCCACGCATCGGTTATCGCTCATTTACTTAGCATTATCAGCCAGTCTAGGGAAGTCTCAAGCTCCTAGAGCCACATAAGCATAAGGCGCTACTTTTGCCTACTGAGGACCACGGGGGATGACCTCAAACCACGCCTTTGTTTTGCACAGATTGTAGAAACACAAACAAACAAACAAACAAAACAATCTAACAAGCGGGAGTTACGTTTCTTGATTACCCGTCAAATTGTTTGTCTTTGTCATGGTTCAGTAGGGCAATCATTAATAGTCAGATGGGTTTTGCAACTTCAACTTTAACTGGCAAACTCTACAGGAGGTTGACTCTTACCAATCGAGACTGTCATAGGCTTTTTATTGGCGGGATTTTTGATAAGCTCGACGCCCTCTAGCATGTCGAGTGCCATTGCTGAGACTGCTTCCGCATGACGCATCGTCTTCACTGGCGCACCACTAACAGTCATGTACATTGCGTCACCTAAGGTTTCAAACTGTAATCAAAACATGATTTAGTGAATATCAGTCAAT